GGGAGGGGCTGCTCACTGCTCATTGCTCATTGCTCATCGCACACTGCTCAACGCTCATTGCCCTATATCCCACCCAGCCGCAGGACTCTACTGCCGCCCGCGCCCCGCCCCATCTGGCCGCTTGCGCGCCCCATCCCCCCTCGATGGGGCCCGCCCACACCGGGGCCTCCCCCCTCCCGACCACTGCTTTCTCAACGGCCCCGAGCCGGGGCTGCCCTCATTGCATACATAGTGCGCCTTTCCCTGCTTTTCTAGTGACCTAGCGTTCCGCACTGCCGTTTGGCCAGCCCATGCTCCCGTACCGTTGCGTTTCTCCCCAATGCGCCATGCCACTTTGCCAGTCATACACACGTTTCGATGCGTGCCCTGTCAGCTGCTTGCGTTGCATGTCGCCTTGCTCCACCCCTGTTTTATTGCTTTCTCTGCTTTCGCCCGGTTCCCGTCCCGTTTCGGCGGGGAGTCTATGTTGCAAGCTAGTTCTTGCTTTACCAGACTTTAAGCCCACACAAGCAAGCCACAGCCTCACTCGCTCTGCACGCATTACCTGCCCATCCAGGTGCTGCCTGTGGAGCTGCCAGGGCGCAACAGCCGCATGCGGGAGGCGCCGGTGACCAGCATGCAGCAGCTGGTGGAGTGAGTGCGAGGGCCTGCGGGTTGGCGGCTGTCGGCCTGGCGCCGCCGGCGGCTTCCTTCTGGCCCAGCCTGCCATCAGCAGCATTCCAATTTATTCATGGCATGCACTTGCACATCCCGCAGGTCCCTGCTGCCTGCCCTGCTGCCGCTGCTGGAGCAGCGCCCGTTTGCCTTCTTCGGCCACAGGTGCGCCATGGGTGCGGCCATGGGTGACTGCATGAGCCTGCGCAAGGAATGTCTCGAGAATTCACCCTGCTGACTGACCCTCACCACTTGCGCCTGCAGCATGGGGGCCTGGGTGGCGTATGCGCTCACCCAGGCAGGTGGCGCTGCCTGCAGCTGCTGGCAGCACCCAACTGCCAGTGGCCCAGCTGCTCTGCACTCCGTTTCTGCATGCGAAATCCGCTAAGCCTGCATGGTTCACCAGCCCCGCTGACGTGCAGGAGCTGCGGCGCCGCGGGGGACCGCTCCCGCTGAAGCTCTACGCCTCCGCCAACCGCTCCCCGCTGCTGGCAGGTCAGTGCCTGGGGCTTGTGCCGATCCGAGGGCCAGGCAGCGGCTGCCCAACGTGGCAGGGTTCACCCTCAGATGCCGGTTTCTCCCTGCGTGTGCTGCGGCCTGCAGGCCCTGAGCACGACGTCGATCCCACTGTGATGCACTTGCTGCCCCCGGAGAGCTTCTGGGAGGCCTTAGCGGCACGGTACGGGCCAAACCCAAGCCTGGTGAGTGCTGAGGGCAGCTGGCGCCCCCGCGGCTGGCAAATGTTGTCGGACAACACTCGTGTTGTCTGGTTGGAGGGGCATTCCTGTTCCTTAATCTGCGTCTGTTGCTCTTGCAGGAGCACGCTGGCATACGCAAGCTGTTGCTGCCGATGCTCACAGCCGACTTCCGTGTGATTGAGACCTGGCAGCCCGGCGCGGCAGCCTCTGGAGCAGCGGCAGAGGCCGTCGGTGCCGCAGAGCAGCCGTCGCAGGAGCAGCAGGGCGAAGTGCAGCTGCCATGCCCCATTGCAGCGCTCGGAGCCACCGAAGACGGCAGGTCTGCTGCCGCCTCTGCCTGTACTGCTGCTGGTGTACCGCAGCGATCATGCGGTACCCCAGCTGCACCGTCGGTCACTCATGCCGCCAGCGCCACGTGTGTCGCTTGCAGGTACACGCGCCAGCAGCTGCAAGCCTGGCGGCACTGTGCTGCCCCTGGCGCATTTGAGGAGCGCTGGTTTGACGGGGGTCACTTGTAAGTGCGGAGTGGTGGCACTTCTGTGTCTTGATTTGCTGCACCAGCACAGAGCACAGCCGCTCACGACTCACCCTCGCTGCCCAGTGCAGCTATGCCACCACCGACGGGCCCGGCCGGCGGCAGCTGCTGCAGTGGCTGGCAGCAGATTTGCCACAGCTGCTGCAGGCCCCACCTGTTGGTAGCGAGGCCGAAGAGGTGAAAGAGGTGCAGGACAGCAGCAGCAAGCAGCAACAGCAGGCCAGCCTGCCTGCACAGGTGCCGCCACAGCAGCAGGTGGCGGCCAGGGAAGCCGGGCCTGCTCAAGCTCTTCCCGCGACAGCGCCGCATCACGGCCAGTGCGTCATGATGGTCATTTGTTGCTGGTGATTTCAACAGCGCGGCTTCTCGCTGCGCTGTGCTTTCTCCAGTACTGGGCGCGCTTCAGCGCCGCCGGCATGCGTGGCGCGAGGCAGTCTTGCTGGATGCTAGTTCCTAAATTCGATGCCAACTCGACTGGTGAGAACGCATGTAACGAAAAATGAGAATTGAGCTCCCGCGGGATCCCGCCGCAAGCGGCGCCTGCGCCCCTGCCACCTGTGACTGACTGATTGCCAGCGGTGCGTTTAGCATTCAGCGCTCCGCACAGCGGCCCCGGCATCCCTTTCGCGGTCCTCTTGAACTGCCCGAGGCCCAGACACCACGTCTTCAACTCCAACAGAAAGCTCCGTCTGATCCGCCTTGCACGGCTCCTGCTCAATCCCCGCAACCCCGCCGCACCTCCAGCCAGCCCAGGCCAGCGCAAATTGCCGCCGCGGCCACCGCCGCCGCCCAGACGCCACCGCCGCTGGGCCGCTGCCTCGGCGCTGGGGAACGAGACGCACGATGTCCAGCCTGGTGGCACCTGTAGGAGACTTGGCTCTCCTGCAGCAACACCAGGAGGCACCAATGGCCTCCCTGGATGCACTGCCAGCTGAGCTGCTGATCGCCATCCTTGCCAACCTGCCTGCGGGCGACAGGTTCGGCGGCGCCTGCATGGCCCGGGCGCCTGGCTGCGGCTGGCACCGGCTAAGCTTCCCTCCTGTTACTGTTACCCTGCAGGCTGACCCGCGCCAGCCTGGTGTGCCGGCGGTGGCTCGACGCCTGCCGCAGCCCCGCCCTGCTGCGCTGTGTGCGGGCCAAGGTGGGCTTCGCCACGCAGGATTCTGTCGAGGTGGAGGGGCAGCTGTGCAGCCTGGAGGCCTGGCTGCAGCGGTATGCAGCGCTGGTGCAGAGGCTGGAGCTGGCGCTGGACATTCCCTGGGATGGCTCCGACTCCCAGCGGCGCATCGACAGCCTGGTGCAGCGGTGCCTGCTGCTCTGCGGCTCTGCGGGCCGCACCCAGTGCCTGCACGTCGACTGGCACATGTTCGGCGCCTTTGAGCTGGGAACCGCCTTCCAGCAGCTCACCAGCCTCACCAGCCTGACCATCCTGCCCCGCATGGGCAACAGCTACGGCCCGAGGGACCTCGCCCCGCTGGCCAGCCTCTCCAACCTGCGCCACCTCCACCTGGCCAAGCTGAGAGGCCTCAACGTCGACACAAGCAGCCACCTCCTGCTGCCCACTGGGCTGACCAGCCTGAGCCTGGGATTTTGGGGCAGCAGGGGCATCCCAGACTTTGGGGTGCGGCGGTGCCGCTGGAAGGAGCTGGGGCTGCTGCTGGCTGCAGCTGGGCCATGCGCTTGTATTGCATGGGACTCAGGCTGCCTTGGCGCTGAAAATCACGATGTCCGCGCCCCCACCTGCCTCCTGCAGCTGCCGGCATTTTCAGGTCTGCACAGCCTGGAGCTGGCTGGCAGCCGCGGGCTGTTGCCCTGGGACTTGCCGGTGCTGCCAGAGGGCGCATGCGCCATGCTGGGCATGCTGCCGCTGCTGCGCCACCTGGCGTTGCAAGGCTTCCGGCGCGTGCCGGTGGCGCAGCTGGGCGACAGCCTGGCAGCGCTGACCGGGCTGCAGCTGCTGCAGCTCAAGAACCTGCGTGGCGAGGAGGAGCTGCCATCCTCGACCGCACTGTGCCGCGCCCTGGCAGCCTCCACGCAGCTGAAGGGCCTGGTGCTTGCCAGCGCCAGCCAGCTCGCCGACATGCTCACAGAGCCGCCTGCCGAGCTTCAGCTGCTGGTTCAGCTGCAGAGCCTGCAGATCACCACGCCGATGCAGTCCCTGGCAGGGTACGGCCGCGGACTGCCTGCAGGTAGCACGGCGTGGCTGGCAGGCCTGCGGCGGCTGGGCCTGGACTGGCGGACGCTGCAGTGCAGCCAGGGCGTGCTGGAGGAAGCACAGCTGCCGCTGCTGGAGTCCCTGCTCGTCAAGTGTCCCCTCCCAGCGGAGTACGCCAGCAGCGTGGACATGCAAGCACATCGCAGCGGCTGGCAGTGGCTCTGGGAGTGGGTGGGCGCCCACCCCGCCCTGCGGTGCGTGCTGTTAGCCAAGGTGAGACGCTGGGTGGGCCTGCCTTGGGCGCTGGCCTGGCTGCAGGCCGTCTTGGAGTTCAAACAGGGTCACCCAGCTTGCGGCCCTTTTGTTCATGCAGTCTGAAGACAGCCAGAATCGGCCCTGGTCAGATGCTATGCGACAAGCCATACAGCGCATACGCCAGGCCAACCCGCGGCTGAGGATTGAGTTATGCGAGGCCGCGGCGGGCATGGCGCAGCAGCAGGCGGAGATGGTGGGGGAGTGCCTGGGCCAGAGCTAAGGCAGGGGCACCACCCGGCTATGGCGGGCTGGCGGCAGCAGAGCAGGCCTGATGCACTGCCTGGCCTCTGCAGTTCGCGGGCTGCTGCATCAAGAGAATTACACTGCGGTGTGCATGCCACCAAAGTATCACGAGAATGCACAGCGGCGTCCAGTGAGGGTTGGGGTGGTGGACAGCGCTTGGGTCAAGAAACTAATGAACGAATGAGAGCCGTCAAAAATTGTGTGTCAAATCTTGTGATGGGTCGATGAACATTGAGAAAAACTATACATCTAATGAAGTGGCAATCAATTCGGTTGTACATTCATCAAAGTACAAGCAAACAGGAGGCAGATTCGGCGGACGGGGCTGGCAGACAGTCGGCCCTCAATCCGGCACCAGCTGGTCCCGTGCAGCCAGCTCGCAGGCTCGCCCCACCAGCAGGATGAGCGGGCCGTCCGCCCCGGCTGCCCCAGCTGCTGCCCCAGCTGCTCCTGCGGGGGCTGCAGGCGCCGCCGCGTGGCCCAGCGTGGCGTTGCCGTCGGCGGCTGCGCGGCAGGTGCGCACAAACAGGCGCAGTACGGCGTCCCGCGTGGAGGCTGGGAACTTGCGGGCAGTCAGGTAGCAGGTGCCCAGCAAGGGGTGGTCGTATGTCTGGCTGCCGGCAGCGGTGGCATCCGCCCCGCGTAGCTGCCGGCAGGCCTGGTCGCGGCTGGCGGCTGCCAGGGCGGGCTCCAAGGGCAGGAACATGCGGCGGGCATCTGCAGGGAGACAGCATGTGAGGCAGGAGGGTGGGCGGGACGGGTGGCAGCGTGGCAGCTGGCGGCGCTGGGGCACACATGTGTACAGGTGTGCCTGTGCCCAGCCGTCATAGCTGATCAATCAGCCCTCCCTGATCGCCGCCCGCAGCAAGGCCCACAGCGCAGCGCACAACGCACCGAGGGCCGCCGCCAGGCTGTTATTGCACTTGCCGCGGACCGTCCACAGCAGCTGCTCGGTCACCTCCCCAGGCCTGCATGTGGGGTCCGTCCAGCCCAGCTCAGCAGCAGTCAGCTGTGCCCATGCCAAGGCAGGGTGCCCCCCCCCCTGGAAAGGCAGGGTGGCGAAGTGCGGTGCATGGGGGTGCAGCCACCCTCCTCACCCAAAGCTGTGCGGGTGGGCATAGTTGGGCCCCCTCCAAGACGTGGAGGCCACGCCAAAGGTCTCGCAGTGGGTGCCGTTGGCCTCGCCCAGCGCCAGCAGCAGCGAGGGCATGTAGTGCTCGTCTGGGGGGGTGGAGCGGGTAGGATGCAAGCGTGTGGGCAGTGGGTGGGGTGCAGATGGTGGCTGGCATGGAAGGCAGGTCATGTGCGGTGCAAGTTGGCGAGCAGGCGGGCCAGCACGCAGGCGCACCAGGCAGGAGGTGGCAGTCCCTGAAAGAGGTGGAGCGGGAGCGGAAGCTGCGGCACGTGGGAGAGGCGGCGGGCGGCGGCATCAGCAAATGGGCGGGCGGGCAGGCGCAGAGGCGTGATTCTGGTTCATCATGGTGTCGTGTTCTGAAGCACATGGCACTCACGCCTCAATCACTGTTGAGTCCGACGCCACCATCTCGGCGTGCCTGCGGGTCAGGCTGAAGAACTGGGAGCTCTTGCGCCACATCCCAGGCTTGAGCGGCCCCTGTGGATGGGCAGGTTGCAGGAGGCGAGCGCGTCGCTGGAATGGCCGGGTGCAATGGCAGCGGCCGCAGCGCTCACTTGCCCGCAGCTCACTCGCCCGACTGCCTCGCCCACCGCCGGCGTTAGGCGGCCAAACCGGCGGGCCAGGCCCCGATGCTCCCTAACTGCGCCTCAGACCGCCGCACCGTGTCGTTCTTGCTCCAAAAGGACGACGGCGGCGTGGCGGGGTGGCAGGTGGCGAGATGGGAGCGGCGGTCCCACATGAGCTGCTGATAGAACGTAAGGGGGTTGTACACAGGTATCCCGCTGTCGCTGATGAGCAGGAACCTGCGGTGCCAGGGCAGCACGAGCGCCGCTGAGAGCGCAGCGCCACGGTGCACTGCCAGCGGGCTGGCGGGCGCAGGCGCTTGCATGCAGCAGCGGCGGCCTGCAGCAGCTTTTGGCTCACCTCTGGTTGAGTGGCTCCCTCAGCGCCTCGCCCAACAGCAGGCGGGCGGCATCCACGAGAGAGATGTGGCCCCAGCTGGTGGCCACACGCTGCGGTATGGCACGCCCTTCAAACAGGCTGCCCTCAGGAAAGCCTGCATGCAGCGTAGGGGTGGCAGGGCATGCACGGCGGCGGGCGGGGCTGGGTTAGGCAGCACTGTGGCAAGCAGGCTGTCGCGGGGCGAGGCGCCAGCAGTTGCGCCTGCTGGCATGGATGCAGCGCAAGCAGCTCGTGCAAGCATGGGCGTGTAAGCCTGCCACGCTCAGCAATGCGTTGCCCACCTTTGAATGCTGGTGAGGGAGGCGGGTGCACATACAGGTTGAACAGGTGCTGCCAGGGCTGCCGCCGCCGCTCGGCCGCCTGCCGCTGCTCGGCGGAGCAGGCACAGTGTATGCGCTGCCAAGCGGCGTCGCCCCAGCCGCATGCCGCCACCTGTCAGGCCACGTGGGCGGAGGCAGGAAGGAGTCAGCAAGGGAGCAGGCGTGAGGCACCCGCGGGATGGACAGGAGCCTGATGGCAACGCGGCAGCAAGCCCAGCCGCCAGCGGGCGCGCGGTCGCACCTGCGCGGCCGGCAGTGCCTGGGCAGGCAGCAGGCCCGCCGCCGCCTCCAGCCACAGGCGCCAGGTGGGCTCGTGTGGCAGCTGGCCCTTTGTGAGGAACAGAAGGGCCACCCGGGGTATTCCCAGCGCCTGCAGGTCGGGCGGAGCAGCGGGGGTGGGATGGCAGCCAGGCGTGTGGAGGCATGCCCCCATGTTCACCCCAGGTGATTGAGAGGGCCTCTCTCAGCGATCCAGGCGCCTTCACTGGGGAGCAGTCCCAGCTGCCACGGGGCACCCACAACATTTGCCCTTCACAGCACGCACCCACCTGGGAGCAGGTGATGTTGGCGCACTGGCCGCCGTTCCCCGCCGCTGTCCTGCTGCTATTGCCACCATTGCGGTGGAAGAAGCTGCCCATTGTGGAGGACCACAGGGGCTGCCTCAAGAGGCCGGGGGAGTTCCATGCTGCTGCCGCTAGAAAGACCACGAAGCCCGTAGCAAGCAGGAGCAAGGGGGAGCAGCGGCGGTGCCTGCGGCAGTGGGAGCGCACAGCGGGCGGCGGGCGGCACAGTCGCTCAGTCTGGCAGGCTTCCTCGGCGGGTCCGGCCGTAGCGCTGTTCGTGATCGCTGTTGAAAGCTTTTACTGGCACCCTAGAGGTCAGGGCTCCTCCACTTTGTAGCTGGCATGCCGGCAATCCACCGCGTTCAAAGCGCCGGACCAGCAACCGCTCTGTTTGCTGCGAATCTTGTGTGCGGATGGGGTGCAAGGGCCAGGAAACTGGACAACGCAGCCGCTAGACAACGGTGGTAGGCAGGGGTCACCTGGGCAGAGACCCCTGCGGCGTTGCAAGTCCGTGCTCGCATCCCTCATCGTCTGCGCTGGCTTCCTTCATGTTTTACGGGCGGCAGATGCGGTGCCAGGCCTTGGGAGATCTGTGCGCCGTGGCATCATAGCGCAGCGTGGGCCAGCGGGCTCCGAGCAGGACCCCATGTGGCCATCCAGCTCAATCCCGCAGGGTATGGATGCAAATTACAAAAGCAGGTGTTACTTGACGGCGCCTAGAGCAGCTTGCAGATGCTGCACGTGCACACTCGCCGCCGCCCGTGTCGGCCGACGCCACAGCGCCGCCGCGGCTCGGAGCTCCGACCGGTAGCCACGTACGGGGATGCATCGTCCCTCCATGGCGCGCTACGATTTGCGAGCGTGCGATGCTCGCATGTGGGCCATCTTAGGCTGCGCCCAAGCTACTTGGCCAGCGCCAGCGTGGAGAGAGAGGGCGCCGGCGCCGTGTGCCAACTGGGCTTGGCCAGCACTTTAGCCAGCAAAATGCGTGGATCGCAAAGACGCTTCACCTCCCATTGTAAACAATCGCCCCGCCAGGATGCCAAGCGATTGCGCCGTTTGCGGCCAGGCTGCCGAGCCATTGGCTGCCAATGGGACGCCTCCCAGCAAGCCCATCCCGTATGAGGTCGATGTGACCGCTCTTTCTGAAGGCTTGAAGAGCGAGGTGCAAGCCGCGGAGCACGCCTTTGCTCTGGACGCCGGCCGGGCGCTGGGCGGCCAGCAGAGCGCGCCCAGCCCGGTGCAAGCCTTCCTGTCCAGCATCGTGGCCTGCACCCAGGTAGGTGGCAGAGGGGGCAGCCTAGGGGGGTGCAGGGGAGCGAGGCTGCGACCAGACGACCGCCACAGCATTGCACAGCATGCCGCCGCCAATTTGTTGGAAAAGTGACGTGTGCCGCAGATCACGCTCCAGATCGTGGCCAAGGAGCGGGGAGTGGACCTGCAGGTCGGTAGAATGGCTGGCGTGCAGGTCCCCTGCTGCCGAAACGCTGCTGCGTGCTTCAAGTGGCGGTGCCTGCCGCCCACATGCGCCGCCGCGCGCCCCCCCTCGCAGCGCATCGAGTGGCGCGGCTGGGGCGTGTTTGACACCCGCAAGCTTGTGGGCGGCTCCGACACTGACCCCCGCTTCCAGCAGATCAAGGCAAGTGTATGCCTTGCCTGCAGGCAGCGCTGACATCAGCCCCAGCCTGCCAGGCAGTGCCTGCCAGCGTGCAGCCAGCTGCCTGCACAAATCATGGCTCACCCTTCTCCCGCCTGGAAGCAGGTGACGGGCAAGGTGTTCGCCGGGCCCAGCCAGAAGGTGTTGGATGAGCTGGCAGGTGGGACCCGATGTGTGCTGCAGACCCAAGCCGAGGCAGGCCCGGCAGCATGCAAATGGCCGCTGCATCCGCTGCACATCTGACCAGGGCTGCCGCTGGCGCTGTTCCCGAGTGCAGCCGCCACCACCGCCCGCTGCCCCATCAGCCAGAGCCTGCACCCCAGCATCCACTTCACGCTCCAGCTGGCTGCCAGCGAGGCGTGACGGGCTGCCAAGCTGGCCAGCATTGGAATCACAAGGAGCAGCGCCAGGCATGCGAGACGCCCCCAAACAGGAAATGAGAGATGACCTGAGCAGGTTCCAGAAAGTATGCAGCGTGCAGAAAACGATTCACGCAGCGGCGCTGTAAACACAAGGTACAAATGGGTGAAGGGAGTGTTCTAGTAAAGGAATGGGCCAAAGGAATTGGGTGGAAGATGGGCTAGCGCTCGGCAGCCGCCGCCTCTGCCCAGGCGGCTGTTTCCAGCAGGAACTGCTGCGCCACCTCTGCATTGTGCTGCATCAGCTCCGCCTTCAGGCTGCGCGCCGCCTCATGCGCTGCCGCTGCAGCGCCCGGCTGGAACGTGCGCAGCAGTGCCGACGCATAGCTGCCCGCCTCCGGCTCCTCCACCACCTCCTCCTCCTCCTCGCCTCCTTCCCCCAGCCGCCGCCTCCGCCTGCGCGTCCCTCGCTGCTGCTGCTGCTGCTGCGCGGCCTTCTCGGCATCCTCTTTCTCGGCCCTGTCTCTGGCTGTGCCGGCTGCCAGAGCCCCGAGGTCTCGCTCCACGGCTCCCTGGGGAGGGTCATACGCGAACACCGCCTCCCGCCGCAGGTAGGAATAGGCCTTGATGACCCTGCAGGCAGGCGGGGCAAGCGGGCAGGCTCCTCACACTGGGTGCAAGGCGGGCATCACAGCATCCCAGGGATCGCCAAGGGCGGCAGCACCAACTCTGCCGCCTTTGCAGCAGATGCAACCGAAAGGAAAAGAGGCGGCGGAGAGGCAGCGCAGGCAGCAGGACGCCACAAAACAGCGCAAAGCGCACCTCTCCTCCGTCACCAGCGGCGTGCCCACGTGGATGGCGGCCGCCAGCGTGCTGCTCGACTTCTTGACAAGGTACACATCTGCACAGCAGGCACAGCACGGCACCGCAAGAAAGGGCGATTTCAGGGGAAGTGGAAGGAGGGCGGTGGAGGCCGGCCTGCTGCCAAATGCAGCTGTGCCCCCCTCCCCCTGTCCCAGCAGCGCCCACCGTTGTCTGGGAATGCGGTGAGGATGGCGCGGCAGCGGGTGAGCGTGGCGTAATAGTCCTGCGGGAGGAACGGACGGCGTGGTGGCTGGGAGGAAAGGAAAGAGCGAGAGGACAGGAAGCAGGCAGCCGTCCGACACCCGGCGCGACCCATCCACCACCCCAGGCCAGAGGGAGGCGCCAGCTAGTGTGCCCACCGGCTGATGCACACCCCCAGGGTGTAGGAGGCCAGAGAAACAGGCTGCCCACCTGGTAAGGGAGGTTGTGGAGGAAGCGCACATGCGCCTGCAGCACCGGCGGCACCTCCAGCGGAGGGATGTCGCGCCTCAGGCTGCCCACCAGCAGCAGCGACTCGTTGCGGCGCGCCAGCTGGGCCAGCACCGCGGGGTGGCAGGCGGCGGCAAAGGCGGCGGCGTAGTCGCGGCGCATCGGGTCGATCGTGCCCTGCAGCAGGTGAGAGCAGCCCAGCCAGGCCGCGGCAGCGTCGGCGATCGCACGCCCCCGAGTCGAACGCACCCAAAAGGCGCTGGTGGTGTGCCGGCATGCGGCGCCAGCCGCAGCAGCAGGCTCCGGCATGCCGCTGCCCCGACAACAACCCCCATCCCCGCCTCCCCATCCCCACGGCAGCTCCCCGCTGCCGGCGCCCCCACCTGGATGCACAGGTGCCGCAGCTCGCTGGGCGGCACCCCCTCGTCGATGCCAGCGGCCGGCACCACCGGCGGCAGCCAGGGCACCTCGAAGCGGGGCTTGTCGCCGGAGCGGCGCCGCCCCCACGCCTCCAGCAGCGAGCGGGTGTACTTGGCGATGAAGGGGGCCAGCACCACGGCCTGCATGCGGGGCGGCAGCCGGGGCGGGGCCCCGGCGGCCGCGCGCGGCTGGCCCGCGTACTGCAGCAGGGCCGCAGAGATGGGCGGGTTCTGGATCAGGTAGTCCGGGTTGTGCACCACGAGGAGCTGGCGCTGGGAGGGGTGCTGGGCGGAGCTCAGCAGGGTCAGCAGCTGCTGTGGCGCGTAGTTGCGGCCCTCGGGGAAGGTGATGAAGATGACCACGTCGTACTGCAGGCAGTACATCGGCACAGCGGTGCGAGGGCACAAGTGATGCCGGGGGCGGGCAGTGGAGGCGAGACTGGCGGCCCGGTGGGCGCACACCACAACCCCGCGAACACCACAACCCCACAACCACTAGGCGGCCTGCGGGTCGCACGCATGGGTGTCCCGGCAAAGCATGGCAGGCAGCGCGGCTCTGCTCACCTGCGGCAGCTGCTCAAGAATCTGGGCTGGGGGGCGGTACTTTCCATGATACCATTCCATGGTATCCTGAAGTGCAGGTACAGTACCAACACCTGCTGCTCAGATTTTGGCGGGCAACGCGTTGCCACCGGCATGCATGCAAGCACAGCAGCGAGCACAGCACAGGTGGCAGCGGGCAGCTCCCTGCTTGCCTGCATGCCTCGCATGCCGTTGTGGATGTGGAAAGTCACCTGGCACCCCGCCTCCTGCGGCAGAACACCAGGCCTCAGCGCCGGCCTCAGCGCATGCATCGCGGCCGGCCCTCTCAGCGGAGAGGGCGGCAGGGCGGCGCGGGCCTGCCAGCGCGCTTGGCTGCACAGGAGCGGAGCGCTGCAGGTGCAGCTGCCCGGCACCCACCTGGAACGCCCAGGCCATGCCGGCTGCCACATCAATGTGATACGCCACATTGTTAAAGATGGCGCACCGCTGCTTCTTCTTCTTCTGCTGCTGCTTCTTCGGCTGCTGCCCACCCCCTCCCTGCTCTTTCGTTTCTGCCTCTGCCTTGGCAGGCTTGCCCTTCTGCTGCTTCCCAGGCTTTCGAGCCGGGGGAAGCAGGCGCTGCGCACGCTCCCGTAGCTGCTGCACCCGCTGCTGGTCCTGCTCCTGCTGCAGCACGCCCTCATCAGATACGCTGGCACTCTGCATACAGATGCGGGCAGCCGCTGCCTTCATGTTGGGGCCTGGCAGCAGTGGGTGCACGAGCTGGCGGGAGCGGTGGCGCCGGGCGGTTTGAACTGCAGAGCCGGCCCCATCAGCGCTCCCCAAGGCGCGCAAGGGAGCCAGGCATTCACAACAGCGGCTTGCCTGGTTCGTGGAGCCGAGGAACGACAGGAAGAGGCGCACTCCCCGGGAGTCGCCAAAGGCGGAGCCAGGGAACAGGGTGATCGCGGCTGCCCATAGCACCAGGGCTATCCCTAGCAGCGCAGCGGCCAGCGGAAAGCGTCCTTGCTTGCTGGGCACCCACATTACATCAACACCTGAGAGGCGTCACCACAGTCCCCAGGCAGCCCCGCAGACGGTGATGGGAAGCAATGCTGCTCATTGCAATTGCCCGGACGGACCAATCCCGCTCATTGAAATTTGCTGACTTGGCGAATGCGGTTGGCGGATGCGGTTGGCGGTACCCTCAGTTGCCTTCCCCACATTTGAGTTGAGGTACCCTCCCCTCTACCAATCACTTTGGGACCATGCAGAGAGTCAGGGTGCTAGGAGGTGGCCTCCGATGCGGAGCATAGCACTGTGACGCCGGTGTGGGATATGGGCTTGCAGAGTTACGAGCGCGGCACCCGGCTGGGGTGCAGGTGGCCAGTGCTTGTGGAGACCATTGCAAACAGGCCAAGCTCATTCTGCGCCATGCAGGTTGCGCCTCGATGTTGCTGCATTGGACGCCCTGGCAGCTGCTCCCAGCAGGAACTGCCGCGCCGCCGCTGCATTGTGCCGCATCAGCTCAGCTTTTAGCTTGAGCGCTGCGCGGTGCTCTGCCATAGCCGCGCCCGGCTCAAACGTGCGCAGCAGTGCCGCCGCATAGCTGCCCGGCTCCAGCTGCTCTCCTGCTGGCCGCTGCTGCTCTCGCCGCCGCTGCCCGGTCAAGCCTGTTCCACTGCTTCCCGCCGGCACCGCCTGCTGCAACAGCGCTGCCGCCTTGGGAGGCAGGCTGTCACGCTGCGGCAGGGCAGCAGCCGCCGCACTCGCCGCCAAAGCCACGGCTGCAGTGCCCTCAGCTTCAGCTGCGGGGTCTGGATCCGGCAGCCCCGGGGCTGCTTTGTATGGGAAAGCTGCGTCCCGCTGGATGTACGAATAAGCTCGTAGTACCCTGCAGGCGGCGGCGGACGGGATAGAGAAAGCAGACGGTGGCGAAACACAGCAGCAACTCGGGCAGGTCGGGCAGCAGCGAAGCAAGCCCCATCAAGCTCACCTCTCCTCCGTCACCAGCGGCGTGCCCGCGTGGATGGCAGCCGCCAGCGTGCTGCTCGACTTCTTCACCAGATAAGCGTCTGCCCGCAGCAGGTGGGTGCAACAGGGGATGGGTGAGGACAGGCTGAGCCGCACATGGACTCACAACAGCCACACAGGCGTCAACTGCTGTTACTAGCGGCAGAAGAGGGCTGGGGGCAGCGCTCCCTTGGCGGCGGGGGCCCACTTGTGTCTGGTGGGAATGCGGTGAGGATAGCACGGCAGCGGGACAGCGTGTCGTAATATGCCTGCACCAGGAAGGGGCGCCAGTTTGGGTGTTGGAGAACCGCCCAAACTTAACAGCATTACAGCAGCAGCTGAGATGGGCACGTCCTGCAGGCAGGCAGCTCACAGCAGGCGGCAGGCTGCTCGCACCTGGAAAGGGAGGTCCATTTCGAGGCGCACAAAGGGGCGGAGGGCGTCGGGGGCTGGAGGCGGCGATGCCCCCGGGTCCAGCCCGCCCACCAGCAGCAGCGACTCGCTGCGGCGCGCCAGCTGGGCCAGCACCGCGGGGTGGCAGGCGGCGGCAAAGGCGCCCGCGTAGTCGCGGCGCTTTGCGCTGATGGTGCCCTGCAGCGGTGGAGATGGACAGAGCGGCGGAGGGGGTCGAGTGGATTGGATGGGAGCTGGAGCCAGCAGGAAGAAGGGCAGAGAGGGACAATAGCTGGGCGACTGCAAAGCGAGCAGGTGCCTGCCCACCTGGATGCACAGGTGGCGGTAGCCTCCGCTGCTGCCGCCGCCGCCGCTGCTGCCGCCGGCACCAACCGCTGCAGGTGAGCGGCTCCAGGGCAGCAGCGGCGGCAGCCAGGGCACGTCAACGCGTGGCGCCGCGGCTCCCATGCCCGCCGCCCACGTCTCCAACAGGGACTGAATGTAGGTCGCCACGTTTGGAGACAGCGCTGCCAGCTGCACACGGGGTGGCAACCGACCACCACTGCGCCTGCCGCCTCCTCCGCTGCTGCCTCCTGCTGCCCCCGAGGCCTGCTTCTGCTGCACTGCCTGCTGCAGCAGCAGCGGAGAGAGCCACGAGGGGTGGCCCAGCAGCTGGTCGGGGTTGTGGGAGATGAGCAGGAAGCGAGGGCCGCCGCCTGGCACCGCTGCTGCCTGCCGCCTGCTGGCTTTTCCCGTCGCTGCATTGCTCGACTGCTCGCCGCCGCTTTCCAGCAGCGTGCGCTGCAGCGCCAGCCTGGCACCAAACTCTGGAAAGGTGACCATCACGATGACAGCATACCTCCCGGCTTCCTGCTGCAGCGAGGAAGGTGTGCGGTAGTCGCCGCGGTACCACTCTGCCATCACGTCCTGCAGCAGGAAGGAAGAAAGGCAAACGGTCAAGGTAGGCATCGGCGGCAGCAGCATGGTGTTGCTGGCAGGTAACACGTGGACAGCAGACTTGCAGAAAGCAGCAACGCGGCAGTTGGTGCATGGCGCTGCTTATCTGCACGCCCTTCAGGTCGCGGCGCAGGTAGCAGCTGACATTGCAGCCCGCCTCCTGCAGCCACAGGCAGGACGAAAAAGGTGACTAATGAACACCCACCTGCTGCCCACCATGGGGAGGTCGGTCTGCGCTGTGTCACAGCCTCACACCATCAACCGCCCCTGCCAGCACCCACCTGGAAGGCCCAGGCCATGCCGGCCGCCACATCCATGTGATACACCACATTGTTGAAGATGGCGCACCGCTGCTGCGGCTGCTGGCTGCTCCTGCCGCCGCTGGCCTTGCCCGGGTGCTGGCGGCGGCGGCGGCCGTCGGGCAGCGGCGGAGGCAATGGGAGCCGGAGCTGTTCCGCGGGCATCCGCTTACCTCCAGTTGCTAGCGAGACCTGCACATTCAGGCGTTTACAGCCCTGTAGAATACCAGCATGGCCGCCTGCACCGCCGCAGCCTTGTTGATTGCGGGGGCCACTTGATCACCACACATCTCCATACGTGTGGCCAGAGCGAATAACAAGTCGGGCTCCAGGTTGCGGTCCAGGCTGCACCTCTTGCACCCGAGCTTCAGCGTCACCAGCGAGATGGCCAGAGCCCTCAGCAGCAGGGCCGCCAGGTGCCGCCAATGGGAGCCCAGTGCAAGCGGCATGTCCGCATTGGCCGACGGCTGTCAGGGAGGGCGTCAGGCCCCCTCGGGCTTCTCAGGAATGCCCTTGGGCATCTGGTGAAGAACAAGGAGAAGGAGAACGCCACAAATGGGTGACCCAGGAAGGAGATGCGGCGGTGCGACGACAGCCTGGCAGCGGCACCAGTGCGCAGGCACGCCATCGACCCTCCCCACCAGGGTCCACCTGAAAGCAGTGAGCTGGGCAGAACGCCTGCTCGCTGCATCAATCCAACGCTGCTTGATCATCAAGCCGACCACTCACTGCAGAGCACCCTGCAGCGGTGCCGGGACGCCCTCGAAAACTCTTCCTTCATTTCAGTCAGAGCTCCAAGTTGCAATTGATGTGCAATCAACGAAGTTGTGAGGCAACGCTGTATTAATGTACACAACTCAACCGTCTGAGCATCCCGCCCCGGCATCACCCCGTCCCTGCCCTTGCTGTGGCCTCGAGCGCCGCCGCCGCCGCCCTGGCAGCTGCTCCAAGCAGGAACTGCCGTGCCACCTCCACATTCTGCTGCATCAGCTCCACCTTCAGGCTGCGCGCCGCCTCGTGCGCTGCCGCTGCCGCGCCCGGCTCGAAAGCGCGCAGCAGCGCCGCCGAGTAGCTGCCCGCCTCCGGCTGCCCCGCCTCCTGCTCTGGCTGCTCGTTCTCGGGTTGCTGCTGCCATGGCGACAGCCAGGAGCGCTGCTGCTGCTGCTGCTGCTGCTGGTCGCGTTCCTCCTCCTCATTCAAATGCTCATCTTGTGCCTGCTCCCCATCCTCCGCTGCCTCCGCTGCCTCCACGTCTCCTGCTGGCAGCTCCGCGATGGCGTCGTCACCCCCCCGCAGTGCGCGCCTTGCCAGGCGAGCCTGCGGCGTTTGTGCGGCCACAATGCCGGCCGCGGCTGCTGCCGCCTCGGCGGCAGGGTAGTGCTCCGCCGCCCCTGGTGGCGAGTCATAGGCAAATGCCGCCTGCTGCTGAAGATAGGAGTAGGCGACGAACACTCTGCAGGCCGGGTGGGGAAGGTGGGCAGGCAGGTGGAGAGGTGCGAGCGGAGGTGGACCCGTTTGTGTGAGGGTTTTACCAAAACAGAAGCTGGCCAGGCGGCACAGATCGCTTTCCAGCCCAGCAGAGCCAACTCTGCCGCAGGCGGCCCTGCTCCCGCAGGCACAGCACTGAACCCTATACCCATGCCAGACGACAGCAGGTGCATGCGGGGCATCGATGTGACGCTGAGCTCACCGCTCCTCAGCCACCAGAGGCACGCCCACAGTAATTGCGGCCGCCAGCGTGCTGCTCGACTTGTTTACGAGGTATGCGTCTGCAACAGGGAAAGGGTGAAGCGGGAGGCGTAAGGTCAGCAGCAGCCATACAGGGGAGAATGCAGCTGTGTTCACTAGGCTGAGGCAAGCAGTGGGGCATGAGCGGCAAGGGCTGGGTTGTCGCCCCGTTCCAGCAGCACTCACCCGTGTCTGGAAATGCGGTGAGGATGGCGCGGCAGCGGGACAGTGTGTCATAATACTCCTGCGGGAGCAAAACACTCAGCCTCAGAATGGGGCGCGCCACTTGTCAAAAGGCCCAGCCTAGCCGCCGCGTGGGCTGAGCCGCTCGGCACCAGCCAAGAGCTGGGAGCCCGGAGGGAGGCAGCTACGCCCGCACACAGGCTGCCAGTTCCAATACAAGCCCCGCGCCCCGGAGCTTGCCTTGTATTTCAGATTGCGAATGACGCGCACAAAGGGGCGGAGGGCATCTGGGATGGGCGGCACAGGCTCCTCCCGCCTCAGCCCGCCCACCAGCAGCAGCGACTCGTTGCCGCGTGCCAGCTGAGCCAACACCGCGGGGTGCGAGGCGGCGGCAAAGGCGGCGGCGTAGTCGCGGCGGGTGGGGTGGATGCTGCCCTGCAGGAGAAAGAAATGGGGATCCAGGTGGTACGATTGGGAGTGGCAGCTGGCATGCAGGCAGCCCAGCTGGCTGTTCCTAGTGGCAGGGCAGCCCACCTGGATGCACAGGTGGCGGTAGGCACCGTCTTTCCCGCTGCTGCTACTACTGCTGCCGCCGTGCTCGGAGCTGCTGCTGATGCCGCGCTGGCCACCCTCACGGCTTCCATCCCCATCGCTGCTGCCGCCGGCTGCAGGAGAGTGGCTCCAGGGCACCAGCGGAGGCAGCCATGGCACATCGAGGATTGGTGTGGGGCCGGGGCGCATGCCGCCTGCCCAGGCCTCCAGCAGCGAGCGGGTGTAAGCTGCCACGTTGGGGGACAGCGCTACCAGCTGCACCTGCGGCGGCAGGGTGGCTGCCGTGCGGCCGTCGTTGGCAGGAGGGCCGCTCCCTGCTGCTGGCGCCACCTGCGCCTGCGCCGGCTGTGCCAGCACTTGCTTCAGAAGCATCTCCGGCAGCCACTGCGCGGATGCCAGCAGCTGGACGGGGTTGTGCACTCCCAAGAGCAAGCGCTGGTGCGGCGGCGCGGCGCGCTCCACTAGCTGCCGCTGCAGCGGCATGCCGGGGCCCTCCTCTGGGAAGGTGGCCATGGCCACCACATCAAACTGCAGCAGAGAGGGCAGCCAGGCGGCTGAGCGCCTGAATGATGGGGCCCACACGACACCCGCCCACAGGGGGTGAGAGCAGCACCGCGGCCCCACACACCTGGTCGGCAGTCTCCAGCAGGGAGGAAGGTGTGCCGTAGTCGCCCAGGTACCACTCTGCCATCACATCCTGCAGCAGGAAGCATGATACAAAGAGGTGGGGACTGAGAGGGCGCCCTGCAGCACGGCGGCAGCGTTGGCTTCCCGCTGCCTCGGCGACAGCAGCCGGCCTGCCCCAGCAGCAGCGAGAGCTTGCCTGCAGGCGTCGGGTCCCCTTGTGAAAGTAGCAGGTCACCTGGCAGCCTGCCTCCTGCGCGCAGTGCATGCACACGCGTTCGGGCTGCATCCAAGTACCAGACGGCGGCTGGCCGGGGGTCCAAAACATGTGTCTGCCACATTTCGGGGGAACAAGCCCTGCCCAGCCAGCACCCAGCACCCACCTGGAAGGCCCAGGCAAGGCCTGCAGCCACGTCCATGTGATGCGCCACATTGTTGAACACGGCACACCGCTGTGCCAGCGGAACCACCGACTGGCGGGCGGCACCCGCCAGCAACGGACCCCCTGTGCGGAGGGGAGTTCCGCTGGCACGTCGCCAAGGCAGTGGCCTGCCCTGCTGCTGCTGGCTCAGCACGCCATCACCCTCCTGCATGCCGTGGGTGGATGACGCGCGCAGGTGTGGCATGACATGCGCAGGCGGCGGCGCATACCTGCGGCGGGGAGTTGAACCCCGGTGCCCAGCGGCTTGCGGCGATCCCAGCATGTCCTGCATTGCGATCCAACGCACCTGGCTGCCTCCAGAGCCGCTCAGCAAGCCTCGCCTATCCTGTGGCGGGAAAGGGCGGCGGCCGTCTCCCCAACTAAGGAGCACCAAGGTCAGCAGAGCCACCCCCAGCGGGCCCACCAGCTGCCGGGGCCGTGTGCGGGTGGCAGCGGGTGACGCCCGGGGGCTGACTACAGTTAGCACGCGCATGGTTGGAGCGCCGAGGGAGGCGCCCCAGCTACTCCTGCTGCCGTAGTCCATGCCCGAGAGGCCTCTGATCAGCCGATGGCCCGCCATCAGATCGACGTCGATCTGCTCGAATCTTTCCAATTAATCAATTGAAATTTTTTGTCAGGTGCTGGCGAGCGGCAACAGCTACAGCTGCAGGTGCTGTCTTTGTGCCAGCAGAACCCCGAGGTTTGCCTCGTTGGTCAAATGCGCCTGCCGAACGGCGTGCTGAACAACTGGCATTACCACCAGCGCCCGCCAGCCTGTCCACCGCCTGTCCGCCACCGCCATCTGCCACGAAGGGCTTTGTGCAGGGTTCTTACAACTTGAGGCTTAGCCGAGAGCGACAGCAAGACAGGCGGTGGAGCCAGCCAGGCCGCCGCAAGGGCGAGACTCAGCCCTCCACCCGCCTCAGCCCTCTGCGAACCCCTGCCGCCGCAGCTTGAATCTGGACACTCGCTGCGCCTGCGGCGGCTCCTGCTGTGGCGCAGGCTGCGGCTGCCGGTCCTGCCCGCCCGTCGCCGCTGCTGCACCAGGCGAGGCTTGGGTTGGTGGCGGCCCTGCTTCCCCCGCTGCAGGCCGCTCCACCACCCTCCCTGTGAAGGCCGCCTCTCTACGAGCCGCGGCCTCCTGCTGCCGCTGCTCCTCCTGCGGATCGCCCCCATGTGCTCCCTGCTGCTGCTGCTGCTGCTGCCGCCGAGGGCCCGCAGCAGGCTGGCCAGAGGCAGCGGGATCTTCCAGCCGCTTGCCCAGCAAGAACCCCGGCCTGAAGCCGCCGCCTGCCGCCTTCTTCTTGCCGCCGCCGCTGCCAGAGGCAGGCGTCGCAGCTGCAGCGGATGGCCCCTGTGCCGCAGGTGCTGCTCCCGCCGCCGCTGCTGCAGCCTGCTGGACCCGCTGCTGCCGCCACTGCTCCTCATCCAGCTCCAGCGCCTCCATGCGCTGCATGAGCACCTCGAACGAATCTGCTGACTCAGCGCTCGCCTCCGATGCCACGTCATCATCCCCGCCCTCCTCATCCAGCTGCCCAGCTGCTCCGGCACCCAGCTGCGCACGGCCGCCGCTGGCCGCGCCGCTCCCCATGAGGTCCACACCGCCACCATGCAGCTCCTCGCTCCACTCCTCCCGGATGTCAACAATCTCCTTGCCCTGCGGCAGAAACGCAGCGATAGGCGCTCGTCCAAAACAAAGCCGAGCCTTGTTGGGGAGTCGGCAGTCGGCAGCAGGTGCGGTGAGCGCAGCGCTCGGTGTATAGAGGGACAGCAGCACACACGCGCTGCCTGCCGCCCTGCCCCTCCTACCTCTGGGTCTGCAGCCCCGCCAGCCCCGCCGGCCTGCTCCAGCTGCTCGCTGAGCTGCTGCAGGGCCGCCTTGAGCGCTGCCAGCTGGTCCGGCGTCTGTGCCTCCGCCAGGTGCTGCACCTCAGGCTGCGTAGGCGCCTGGCGCGCATTCAGGCAGCAGGAGGTGGCAGGGAAGGTTAGCAAGCTTGTCATCAGCAGGCAGTGCGGCGGCAGCAGTGGCGGAACGGAGTGCGGCCTGCCGGCAGAGCGGTGGCTTGCGCACCATTGCTGCACTTCTTGCTACGTGTCACGCTTCGTTTCAACACCAAGACGCTCTTTAAACCCTGCAGAGGGGCAGCCAGGGAGAGATGGACCTCTGCATGGCCACATGGTGGCAGCAGGAGGGGTTCTGCCATTCCAACAGATTGGGTGGGGGTTCCCGGCCTGCAACAGGACCGCACACGCCCGGCACAAGCACCTATGAGCGCGCTGCGCCCCAGTGAGCGGGCGAGGGTGCCTCCCAGGTGCCGCCGGAGCCAGCTGCAGACTCGAGAACGGGCAAGAAATCAATGTCCTGAGCGGGAGAGGCTGCCCAGCCGCCAGAGGCTCAGCTGGCAACGCACGCACCGCAGGGAGCTCAAACCGCCACAGCGAAGCTTGCGGGGCTCATTAAGAGCATCCCATGCATTCATAGCGGCATCCACCTGCACAGGACGAGAGTTGGGACACCTTCCCCCGTTGACCAGCTCTCCGACACTCGGGACCAGGGAATTAGAGCCAACGGCGACGTGAGTTCATTGCAAGGAGGGCTACAGGCCCCCTCACTCGGCTGTGCCTTCATCATGACGAGCAGCAGCGTGACCTTCGCAGCCGCGCCGCTGGCGGCACGGCCAGGGCCCATGGCCCCACTGGGCAGCGCCGGCAACTGGGCAGGCCCGGGCCGTGCAGGCAGCCCTCTACGGTCGCAGTCGCAGCCGGGCATTGGCGGGGGTGGGGACGGCATGCAAGGCGGCAGGCTGTATGGCACTCCCCGCGGCCCGCTAGATGGTGACGGTGCACCAGCAGCAGCAGCAGAGGCGGACCCCAGTGGCTCGCTGGCGACACATGCCAGAGCTGCACATGGAGTGAAGCATGTCAGCTGGGGCGACCTGCCGGAAGCGGAGCAGCAGCCCACGCAGCAGTTGCAGCCTGAAGCCCCGCCCGCCCCTGCCCAGCGCCAGGCAGCGGCCAGCGGTGCCGCCATGCGCGTCAATAGGCTGCTGCAGCCACGGCAGCCGCCCGGGGCCAGCGGTGTATGGCACCCAGGAGCAGCGGTGTCGCCGGCACCCGGTGGAACCAGTAGCAGCGGCTACAGCCGCCAGCTGGAAGCCTACCGACAGGCCCTGGCGGTGCGAGCGGCCCAGGCAGCGGCCGCAGGCGGTGCCGCCCCTGCTGCTGCACAGCCACCAGCTGAGAGGGCTACAGCTACCGCTTCGCCGCCACCCATCCATGGAGTATCACCAGCCGCTGAGGTGCCTAGTGGCGCTGGCGCAGTGTTAAGCGGCGGCAGACTGGCCGCAACAGGCACCGCAGCACCACCGCCACCACCATCTGTGGCTGACCATGGCACAATACTAGGCGGCGGCGCATCGCAGATGCCGCCGCAGCCTGCCACTGCTGTTGCTGCGACAGCCGGCCCGACACCACAAACCTCTTACAGCAGGCAGGCGCCGCCAGTTGGAGGGGCAGCTGCTGCGACACAGGCCTCCACCGCAGACCCAGCACCAGGCATGCAGGAGAGTGCAGACATGCAGGCGATCCGGGTGGCGGCAGAGCGTGTGGCCGCCGCGGCCAGGCAGCTTGCAGCGGCTGACCTGCACAGCGGCCAGCTGCTGGCGGGCCTGGGCCTGGCTGCCGCTGCCGCGGGAGCTGCTCCTGCGGCAGTCGCCGAGCTGGGAGGAGACCCTTTGGGGGTCAGAATGGCGGCTGTGGTGGCGGCGCTGCAGGGATGCCTGGTGCAGCATGCCTGCTGATTCTCTTCATTCCAGGGTAACGACGCCAGGCTTTTTTATGCACCTCTGATTCAGAGGGCAGGGCGCTGACGGCAGCAGACTGCCACAAAGTGGGAAGGCTTGCTTTTGGTGATCCCGCAGCGAGCACGCGCCAGCCACAAGCTAGTTCCTGACATACATCACCATACGGACAATAAGAACCTCTGACAGGATGTCCTAAGCAAGGCATGTGGCGGCCATGCGCTGAGCCTGGGCGCCGCTTCCCGCTCGCCCTGTTGGCGTCGCATGTGCTGGTGGAGGCGTGTCGGCGCTTTGGATCCGTCGCTTCTGTGCACCTCGCGCTTCGCTGAGCGCGGTGGGGAGTCTGCTGGCCGTGGGTGCCCAATTGGGGAACGCTAGCTCTTTAGTCTTCGCACCCCCAGACCGCACCAACATCCAGCCTGCTTCCATGCAGCAGGCCAGCGGCGGCCTGCGGGGCCTGGGCCCCTGCCCACTCCCCTCTCCCGCCCCCTCGGGCTGTAGGGTTCTACGACGCCCCGTCGCGCCCCGGGCGACCCTGACCCATGCCCCACTCACAGCAGCCACCAGCGGGAGGCTGGCAGCGGCCCTGAACGGCAGCCTGGCGAAGTGGCAGTGGCCCGCCATGCTTGCCACAGGTGCGATGCCTGCTCGCCTGCTCCCCCTGCAGCCGTGATCGGGTGGGCCGGGATGCCCTGGGGGCACCTGGGGGCGGCCGCCGCTGCCCTGTGCCCTCGCGGGGGCCCTGCAGCGCCGGCAGGTGGGCGGCAGGTGGCGCCAGGCCCCCGGTACGGGCCCCGCCTGCTTCCTGTTTCGGCCACGCTTCCCTGGCCGTGCACGCCACGGCAGCCTGCACGCCTGGCCTCTGACCGGCGGCGTGCTGCCCCTCTCTCACCCCCCACCCTGCTCCAAGCGGCAGCCACCCAGCTGATGGGGCACCCGGCGGCGGCGGCGCTGGGGCACCAGCCAGCCCAGGCGGCGTGGATGACCATGGCGTCCCTCTTCACCCTGGCAGCCAGCATGGGCGGCGTGCTGTACTACATGGCTCGCACCACCTGGGAGGGCATCGAGCCGTTTGTGTTCTACCAGAGCAGCCGCGCCGCGCAGGTGGGAGCGCCGCGCTGCCGGTGCCGCTGGCTCTCCCGCTGTGATGTCGCTGCTGCCACAGCCGCCGCCGCCGCGGCCGTCACTGCTGCATGCGCAAGCCCCTCCCCCATCCTTACCGTGCCCCGCCCTGCCAAACGCAGGACCCGCTGCTGCTTCACGGGGTGGACATCAGCGGCAGCCGCTTCTTCTGCCGGCCAATCGTGCAGCAGGCCGCAGAGTTTGCGGCGAGAGCACACAGGCAAGCGCCTGCGGCAGCCGGGGGCCTTGAGCCCGGCCGGCGGTGGCATGGGTCGGCCCTGCTGCGCGCACGCGGGCTACTGCTTGCTGGCTGGCTTGACACCCGCCGCAGCGCCTGATCGACCTCGTCGCCGCCCCTCCCGCCGCCGCGTGCAGGGGCCAGGTGCGCAAGACGCGCACCCCTTATGTCAGCCACTGCGTGGAGACGGCGCTGATCGTGGAGGGCCTGCTGTCACCCACTGAGGAGGACGAGAGGTGCGGGGGCGCCCCCCCGCTGCCGCTGCGCTCGCTGCCGCTGCCGCTGCTGCCGCTAGTGCTGCTGCCGTGGCTGCGAGGCTGGTGGTGGCGGCCCCCGCAGCGATTGCCCGTCCCCCCACAATATGCTGTGCGCACCCGCCCACCGGCCTGCCGCCTGCGCCCTCCCGGCGTCCTCGCCTGCAGGGCCGAGGCTGCGGTGGTGGCTGCGCTGCTTCACGATGTGCTGGACGACACCGAGGTGGAGGCAGGGGAGGTGGAAGAGCTGTTTGGGGCGCAGGTGCGCCGCGCCTGTGCTTCATCCTTCCTTCTCCCTGTGTCTGTCTGTGGGTGGGGCCTGGAGGCGGGGGGTGCAGGTGTCTGTGTGAGGAGCAGGTGGGCGGCATGCGCTGCACGCGGTGCCCCGCTGGAGTGGCAAGCGGCGGCCTGTGGGCGGGGTGGAGGGCCGCTGGGTGGGGGCACGCGGGCGGGGTACCCCTGCACGCACACCTCTCTTTGCTGCCCATCCACACACACACACACGTGCACACACACACACACACACACACACACACACACACACACACACACACACACACACACACACCGCCATGCCACCCCGCAGGTGGCCTCCATGGTGGCCAAGGTCTCCCAGCTGTCCACCACCAACCAGATTGTGCGGCGCCGCCTGCGGGTGGAGTCGGCGCAGCCCACAAAGGAGGAGGAGGCGCAGCTGAGGTGTGTGTGTGTGTGTGTGTGTGTGTGTGTGCTTGCGGCAGGAGGAAAAGAGGGAGGGCCCGGGGGCTTGGCGGCTCGCCTGTGCTGCTGGGTGTGAGGGCGCCAGCTGCTAAGAGGATGGGGCGCAGCTGCCTGGCGTCTGCCCGCCCTGTGCTGCCGCTGTGCCGCCGCTGCACCCCAGCACACGCAGTGTGTCGCCTGCTGCCTGCCCGGTCCTTGCAGGAACATGATTCTAACGATGGTGGGCGAGCCGCTGGTCATCGCCATCAAGCTGGCAGACCGCCTGCACAACATGCGCACAGTGTGAGTGGGACTGCTGCTGCTGCGGCGGCGGCTGCGGCTGCGGCTGCGATGGTGGGGTGGCGGGGATGTGGTGCGAGGCAGAGACCGAGGGGATGGGACGGTAGTGTGCGGGGCCAAGCCGTGGATGTGTGGCACTGCTGCCCGGCCCGCTGCCGCCCCCCTGCCGGCCCGCGCCCTGCATCCGGCTCACGGCCGGCTCCCACGCGCCTGTCCTCTCCTCCCCTCCCCTTCTGCCGCTGCCGCAGCTTTGCGCTGTCCCCCGAGAAGCAGCAGGCTGTGGCCAGCGAGACGCGGCGCGTGTGGTGCTCGCTGGCCGAGCGGCTGGGCATGTTTGCGGTCAAGGTGGGTGCGGGGGTGCACGCCTTGTCCTGTGTGCGTCAGCAGCAGCAGCCTCGCCTGCTCCAACCGCAGCCACCCAAATTTGGTTTCCATCATCCCGCCCTCAATCCCGCCCGCCTGCATGGCCCCCTGAGCCGTCTCCGCTCCACACCCGCACCGCCCACATGTACCGCCCTTCTGTACCGCAGAGCGAGCTGGAGGACCTGTGCTTTGCGGTACTGCAGCCGGCGGAGTACCGCGCGCTGCGCCGCCAGCTGGATGAGCTGTGGGGGGTGCCCACCATACCCGACCAGGTGGGCTTGGAGGGAGGGGTGGCTGGGGTGGCCGGAGGGCTGCGTTCAGCCTGCCGGGGCACGGGGAGAGGTGGCTCCATGCGCCTCTTTTGCACCGCACTGAACCGCTCCTGCCCCTGCTGCCCTGGCCCTGCAACCCTGCGGCCTCGACCCCCGCCTCCGGCCATGCCCTGCAGGCTGCTTCCCTCGACGCCTGCCTGTCTGATGAGTATGAGTGCCGGGTGGATTTGCACCTCACACCCACCTCCCCCGCCGCCTCCGCAGCAAGCCCCGGCAGCACCGGCAGCGACCTCTCAGGCGCCACGCCCGCCGGCCCAGATGCGGCCGCGGCGGCCGCGGCGGCCGCGCTGCGCGAGCGCCAGGGCTCGCACGCCGCTGCCAGCACCCGCTCGGGCAGCCCCGGCAGCAGCGGCAGCAGCAGAAGCGGCGGCGGCAGCAGCAGCAGCAGCAGCAGCGGCGGCGATTTCGATTGGCTCACGCCGCAGCAGCTCGAGGCAAGCGCGCCTGCGCCTCCCGCCTCCCAGCCTGCCTCTCTGTCCCTGCCGCCCGCGGCACCTCTGCACCCTCACGCTTCGCCTTACCTGCCCTTCCGCTGCCTCCCCTCCTGCCTGGCATCACACCTCCTCTGCCTGCCCTCCCACGCCGCCCCGCCCCTGCAGGCCAAGCTGCTGATTGACACAGTGCTCCCCTTTGATGCCACCACCTTCAACATTGCCAAGCTGCGCTCGGGGGCGGGGTGAGGCGGCGGCCGGGGGCCTCTGCGGCCAGGGGCCCCTGCGGCAGCAGCAGCAGGCGGCGTGGAGCAGCATCCGCCGTGCCCTGCCGTGCCTCCATGCCACCAACCACACACTCGCCTCTGTTCTCCCGTTCTGCGCACACACCCTGTTTTTCTGTTTTGCGCAGGGCGCTGCGCGGGCTGGAGGTGCTGCAGGCGTGCGCCCAGCTGCTGATGCGCGAGATTGGCACCGAGAGCCTGGCCAGCGGGCTGGAGGTGTCGGTGCAGGTGGGCGGCGCCGGTGGGCCCGCCTGGGGAGCCGCGGGTGGCGGCATCGCTGCTGCCGCTTAGGGTCGAGGTACTTCACCTTATGGTCGAGGTACTTCACCTTAACCTTACAGTACGCGCGGCGGAAGCGCCTGCACTGGCACGTCCGGCAGATCGGCAGCGGTCCAGAGCCAGATGTTGTAGGCGGGGGAAGCGCCTCCTCTGGCCTGGCTTCCCCACCTGTGACTTCTGTCTATGGCCTGCTGCCGATCTGCCGGGCGCGCCAGCGCCAGGCGGCGCCAAGCGGCGCGGCCGGGCCCCCTCCCGGCCGCCCCTGGATGCCTCTGCCGCCCCCCACCCGCACCCCTGGGGCGCGGCGCTTCCTGTGCCCCTCACCTGTGCTGTCCTCCCTCCCTTGCGGTCATTGCTTCCTGCTGCCCACGCCGTTGCCGCCCTCCCTCCCTCCTCCCGGCCTGCCTTGCCGTCCTCCCGCGCAGGGCCGCCTCAAGTCCCTGTACTCCACCTTCCGCAAGATGTCCCGCAAGGCGGTACCGCTGTCAGAGGTGTACGACGCGCGGGCGCTGAGGGTGGTGGTGGACGACGACGGCGGCAGGTGTGCGCATGTGTGCGTGTTGGTTGTGTGTGTGTGTGTGCACGTGTGTGTGCTTGTGGTGATGCGGGGTGATCAGCGATGATACCAGGTGCGGCGGCGGCCTTGCTTGCTGATTCGCAGACCGCAGCGGGCGCTGCGCCGCTTGGTGGCACCTTGTGCTGCCTGCGCCCGGCCTTCCGTCTGCCCCCAGCATCCCCCCGCCCACCTGCGCCACGTCACCTGCTGCCCGCCCCTGCCTTTCCCTGAGCCCGCAGGCGGCAGGCGGAGGCGATTGCTGCCTGCTACAAGCTGCTGCCCGCTGTGCACCGCCTGTTCCGGCGTGTGGCGGGGGAGGAAGATGACTATATAGCGCAGCCTAAGGTGGGGACCTGCCTGCTGCGCCTGCCTGCTGGCCTGCCTGCTGCCTGCGCTGTCTTGGGGCTCCCTTTGGTTGCCTTTTGCTTGGGCCCTGGGATGTGTCCACTAGCGGCGGCAGGCTGCACCAGCTCAAACAGGGCGGTGAGAAGCGTGGCAGCGGGCCGCCGGCCAGCTGCTTCGCCCGGCGCTCTGCCCCCTCCGCGTGCTCACTGCCGCGCGCCCGCCGCCTGCCCCGCGCGCCCCTGGCCGCAGCCTTCTGGCTACCAGAGCCTGCACACGGCGGTGATTGGGCCGGGGGGCGTGCCCATGGAGGTCCAGATGCGCACCAGTAGCATGCACTCGGACGCAGAGTATGGTGCGCCGTGCCGCGGGCCGCTCGTGTGTGTGTGTGTGTGTGTGTGTGCGTCATACGTGTGTATACGTATGCATGCATGTGTGTGCTCGCGTGTGTGCGAGCATGGTGGCGGCCGCGGCTGGGAGGGAGTATTCTGCCGTGGCTGGGAGGGGGATGCTGGCGGCGGCACCAGATGTGAGCGCTGACGCGGACACGCGCCCTCCGCTCCTGCCTCCCCGCAGGCAAGGCGGCGCACTGGGCGTACAAGGAGAAGCCGGCGGTACCTGCGGTACAGCTGCCCGGCCCCGCGGCACCTAGCCTACCGGCCCCCAGCAGCGCCAGCACCAGCTCTGGCAGCGCCACCACCAGCGGCAGTGTTGATGATGAGGATGGAGATGCGGGCATCGCAGCCGGCCACCCCATGCTGCACATAGGGCCAGGTGCGCATTGGGCGCCCTGCCCACCGCCTTGCTTTCCCTCGCTCTCCCAACCGCTGGCCGCAGCCGCACACCCCGCCGCTGCCCAAGCCCTCCGGCCCCACCACGGCCCACCACGCTGCTGCCCGCCCCGCTTCGCTTCTGCCCGCAGGCGGCCGCTTGCGCGACGGCGTGGTGGTGGCGTCTGAGTTTGGGGGGCGGCGCCTGCTCTGCGCTGTGTCTCAGGAGCAGCGGGCCGTGCCCGACGCGCGGCCGGCGCCCGCAGAGCGGTACAGGTGGGCAGTACCAGGGGGCGCAGCCTGTGGCCGGCGGCCGGCGCCCTGCCTCTCTGCATACTTTCTTCTTCTCCTTGCTGCGGCGGTGGCGGAGGCACTCGCGCCACGTTGACCTGAGCCACACAGCAGCTGCAAACCTATATGCCCTGTCCTACTGGCACCCACACCTCCAGCCCGCCTGCGCATCCTGTACCGCCTTTCGTGTCGATGCACCGCTGCCCTGCTGTGCCATGCCTGTACCGCAGGGCGTTGCTGCGGTACGTGGAGGAGCGCGGCTACTTCCAGCCCTCCCAGGGAGACATGACCGCCGCCATGGAGCTCTTCACCCTGTGCAGCGGTGAGGCGGTGCACGTGTGTGTGTGTGTGTGTGTGTGTGTGTGTGTGTGTGTGTGTGTGTGTAAGAGAGAGAGAGAGAGAGAGAGCGGTTTGGGTGGTCCTCCTCAGCCCAGGCATGCTTCTGCATGCACATCGCTGGGCCCTGGAGGCACTCCCTCACCCCTCCCTGCCGTGCCTTGCCGTGCCTTGCCGCCCTTGCTGCCGCTGCTCCCCATCCCTGCAGACGGCAAGTACCACCGCATCGACCGGTTCGGCCACAAGCTGCCCACCGTGGTGGTCCCACTGACCCTGGAAGAAGAGGAGGAGGCGGCTTCCGCAGCCGACGCCAGCAGCCTCAGCGGCTCCGCCGCGGCGGCCGTCGCGGGCGCCGCCGGTAGCGAGGGCGCTGCGGGCGGCGGGGGCGCGGGGCCCGCGCCCGAGCACATTCGCAGCCAGAGCAGCGTGGAGGGCGAGATGGATTACATGAACAATCGGGTGAGCTGGCTGGGAGCCACCAGGGAGGGCGCCTGGCTGGCGGCTACAACGCCCGGCCATCCCGTTTGCGCTCGCCCTGCCATGCCCTGCCGCGCGCTGTGCGCCGGCTTCGGCCTTGCTCTGGTCTGGCTTCAGAGCTGACCTCCTCGGCAGTTTGTGGGGCCTGTATTTGTTTTCCAGGCATGCCCCTGCCCTTCCCAAGGCATGCCCCTGCCCTTCCCCAGGCACACAATGCCCTCCCCTCTCACAGCGTCTCGTGCCTGGCATGCTGCACCCGCCCACCCCCAACGCAGATCCCCCTGCTGCGCTCGATGCTGGAGTGGGGGCGGGAGCTGGGGGCCAGCATCGCGGCGGAGTCTGCGCTGGCCCAGGAGGCCGCCGCCGGCAACGACGCCGCCGCCATCGCGGCTTGGACCGAGCGGCAGCTGGCGCCGCAGGTGCAGGGCGCGGACGGCGCGGGGGCGGACGTCATGGTGCTCATCTGGCCGGGGGGGCGCATCCTGCGGGTGCCCCGCGGCACGACGGCAGGTGTGGCCAGGGGGTGGGTGGGGGGTGGGGGTCTGCCTTCGCAGGCACAGCTCTCGTGGGCGTGCCCTCCTGCACCGCCAATCCCGGGCGCGCCGCCTCCCCACCACCCGTGCCTCCTGCCCCCTGTCTCTCCCTGCAGGCACCGTCATTCGAGACCTGGGCCTGATCCAGATCCAGCCAGCAGCAGGCCCCACGCCCTCTGCCGCCGCCGCCGCCGCCCCCACTATGGGGGACGCCAACAACGCGCTGGCCGCCGCCTCTCCCCGCCAGCGCCCGCTGTTGGTCAACGTCAACAACCGGCTGGTGCCGGAGGAGACGCCGCTGGCCGACGGCGACTATGTGGTGCTGAGCCGGGACAAGGTCAAGATCTGAGGCGAGGCGCGAGGCAGCACGCCGCTGTTGCCGTGATGGCGTCGAGACCTGAGGGCGGCCGGCGGCTGGGCGGCTGGCCCCGTGTCCTCGCCTGAGCCTCCTGAGCTTTGCTGGAGAAATGCCAGATACATGGGTGCATGAGTGCCATGGTATGGCTGGTTGATTGCCACCTGTTTGCTAGTTGGTCACTCGGCACCCGGTTGGCCCCGCTAGAGTGCGTTGTGCGCCCCCAGCGCACGCGCTCGCCGCTCCCTGCCTGCCCCCGCCTGTCGCTGCACGCTGCCCCCTGCATGCCTTGCTCCTGTGCCGCCCCCTGTACACTTCCCTCTCCCTGCCTGCCCCCATCCCTATCTATCAGCCGCTCTGTCTGTTTCCGCCCGTTGAAACGCCATGCAACCTCGCCCTTGCCCCTTCTACCCCTGCTCTGCCCGGGTGTCACTGTGTACCATACATCCTGTGCCTCTGTGGCCGCCGGCCCTGCTATTACGCCTTGCTGGCTCTTGGCCGCTGGCCCCGCTACTACTGCTTCGCTCCCGGACTCGGAGATAAGAGTCCGGCAGAACGGAGATAGGATAGGGGTTGAGATGCCTGCCCCCCTATCCTATCTCCATTCCTTCCACTATCCCCATATTCCTTCCAGTTGTTCTGCCCTTGTATCATGCACGCGAATTGGCGCTCAGCACAGGGCAGCGTAGGCCTGGGTGTAACCATACGGGTTAGTATGCTACGTTAGCAGAAGGCACAGAAGAATTTTGAGGGTGGTTACAACGCTTTGGGAGAGGGTTCGTACGGCATAGTAACCGCGGGCGGGGACGGTATAGTAACGGCGGCTTGGGGACAGCGCACGCGCCAATCGGGGTCACTCTAAGCCTGGAGGGAGTAGAAAAAATCCCCATACATGCTTCAGAGCTCCCAGGGTGCAATTGTCAATGGGAAACGCATCTAGCACCATAAACTGGAACATGCTGCCTGCATTTCATGCCGCCAGCGCCACTCTAACGCGCCGCTCTAACGCATACATATGGCATAGTATGGGTTAGCGGGGTTTGGGGTGGGTTACTGTTTTGTCTAACGGTGAAATAACCAAGTATGCTAACCATGGTTATTTAACCCATACTAGCGGCATAGAAAAAATAAGCGGGCAGGGTAAAACCGAGGCCTAGGGCAGCGGCGGCAAACGGCCGGCGCCAGAATGCAAGTTATGCACAGTTCACACCTGATTCCTGAACGTGAGTTAGCAGGTGTCACCTGAGTTTTTAGGTGGGCCTGTCAAAGAATGGCTGCTGGCTGTCGGGCACTCCATTCTCGCCCCAGCCCACATGCGGCCAGGCGGCGCCCTGCTGGCTCCCGCCACACACGTGGGCCGTGCCGCTCCTGCCACCCATCCTATCCCCCTTCCGTGTCCTCTGCCTAAATCGTCTTGATCCTGTCCGCCGGCAGCTAGAGGCTGGTGAATTCCCCGCCGGTTGCAGAGCCCTGCCCAGTGGGGTGACGGACTGGGGAGGAGTGCAATCGGAGCATACATAGCTTCCATGGCACTGGGCGTGGGCCAGCGGTGACCGCGAGAGGGGCTGTGCACCCCCTATGGGGAGCCTCCTGCTGGACCGGCTGCTCAGCCATGCCGCCGCTGGACCCAGCGTGGCATGCGGTGCAGGTGGGTCTGGCGCAATGGCGGGGCTAGAAGGGGGCGGGGAGAGGGGAGCAAGCCACTCACTGCACTCGCCTCCCCTGCCGCAGACCACGGGCCCCAGCAGCGTGTCAGGGCCTCCCCTCGAGGCCCGGGACGCACCCTGGCCTTCTCGGGCGCCGCCTGGCAGCGCGGCAGCAGCCTGGGCACCCCCCCACGTCAGGTGCGGCTCGTTCGGGCCAGGCATACACTTGCACTGGGGATTGCGGGCCTGCCCGGGGCCCTGAGCACACGTGCAGCGTGCCTGACGCGCCGCTGTGCGCGGCTGTGCAGGTGGCCAGCCGCGGGCGGGCGCGGCGGAGAGGCAGCGGCGGCGGCGGCTTGGCGGTCACGACCACGTGCCAGGCGCTGCAGGTGGCAGACTACTCGGTGAGCTGGACAGCGTGTGGGCTGCAGCAGCGGCGACTCGGCAGGCAGCGGCTGGCTGGGCGCTTCCACCGCCCTGCCAACCCCACATTCCCGTCATCCTACCTACCCGCCCCGTTGCAATGGCTTGTGCCCCTGCCTGGCGCTCTCCTCTGCCCCCTGCCTGCTGTGCCGCCTGCATTCCTCTGATGCCAGCAGCGCGCCCGCAAGCCCGCGTGCTCACCTGCGCCCGCCGCGTGCCGCCTCCCCGCCGCCGCCGCCGCCGCCGCAGTTTTACCAGCGGCTGCGGGAGGGGGAGCTGACTGAGGACTACCTGTGGGAGACGCGGCTGCTGCCGCTGCTGGGCTACCTGTCGGCGGCGGAGGCCACGGCTGTGCGGGAGGCGCTCAGCCTGGCGTACGACGCACACTCGGGGCAGCGGCGCAAGAGCGGCGAGCCCTTCATCACGCACCCCGTGGAGGTGACCCGCATACTGGCGGAGCTGCGCATGGACTATGAGAGCCTGGTAGCGGGTGAGGGGTTGGGCGGAGAGGGTGGATGGGGAGCAAGAGGGGAGCGGGGGGCGGCTTGCCGCGGGGTGGCAGGGGCGGAAGACACAGAAGGTGGTGGCAGGGCGGTCGGGGAGGCTTTGTTGCGGGCGCAGGGCGCAGGCAGCCCGCGTGTGGGCAGCCCGCGCGCGGGCGCACGGCGCGGCTGGTGCGCGGCGCGTTGACGGCACTCCACGGCTGGCTGCTGCCTGCCGGTGGTCTCGCTGCCGACGCCGCGCATGCACCCTGCCCCACTTTCGACATCCATTACATCCCCTGCATCCCCTGCCGCCCCTGCCCCCCAGGCCTGCTGCACGACACTGTGGAGGACTGCGGGGACGTGGTGGGGCTGGAGGAAATAAACTTCCACTTGATC